ATCCTCCTCACACACACTGTTGCTGTTCCAGCATCATGATGGAGAGAACAGTGTACCAAATACACCCTCCATAAAGCTCACCAGTACCCTTTAATGCCCTTGTCTTGGAAACTGCTCCTTCTGTCTCAGTATCTTGATGCTGTTTTCTGATGGCAGTACCACACCAGTATGTCCGTTTGTGCTGGACATACCACACGTGTGCTGGAATTATGCAAATCTGTGCGCTTTAAGCTCCATCGTCCACGCCCGAGGCCAGATGCCTTTCCTCGCTCCCTTCCCCTCGGAGCCAGCTGGGCCTCTGCCGCTGCCTTCTGTCCTGCGAGGTCCTCTGGGCCGTCCTCCATGACCTGCCTCCCTTTGGTTGGCCCCAGCTCTGCTCCAGGGTCAGAGCCTGTGAGTCGGTGTGGCCTGCTTCTGCACCCTGGACAAGGCACAGGGTGGATGTGGCACGTGTCTGCAGGAGAGCCGAGCCAGGCGCCCCCGCCTCACGCTGGCCCCAGCCCCCATCTCTCTTCCAGACACCCCGTGACGAGTGCCATCCTCTCCCATCCACACCCCTTCACCCTCTTCCTCTAGTTTATCCTCAGACTTCAAGGCTCTGTTAGGGCAAATTCCTCAAGAAAGCCTTTCCCCACACAGCCCACTCAGCTGTGCCTTAGCGGCCACCAAAGCAGTGGCCTCTGAGCACAGCAATGCCAGTGCCACGGCCCTTCACCAGCTCCTGCCCAGTGTCCATACACATGGCCTCTTGCTACCCCTGTGTAGTAACTCAGTGTTTTTTTGGGGGGGGGATGATGGTGTCACCAAAGCTCCTCAGTTTCTGGCCACTGTCTCTGGAGAAGTCATTCAATCCTAACCACCCATCTGCCTAAAGTGAGGTATAAACTGTGACAAGCCCTGGCCCATTAAGATGGCCAGTGCTTGAAATGCCAGCATCTCGGTGCTCCCGGGAAATGCTCCTTCCCCACCTTGGAGCGCACACACACCGATGACGTCTCCGGGTCTCCGGTTGCTCACTGGGGTCCTCGCCCACCAGGAGGCTGGTGCCTGCCCAGGGCCCTCCGCAGCCTCAGCGGTCGGGGTCTGTTGGGAGCTCTGAACGGGCTAGTGGAGCGCTGCATCCGTCCCTGCCCTGGGCCCACTGCCCAGGAGGCCACCACCTGGGTGACTGGAGCTTTCCCCGAAGGTGAAGCACGGCCCTCCCTCTACCCAACAAGAGCATGAGGCCACTTTTACTCCTCACAACAACCCCGCGTGACAGGAATGGGGCCCGTTGTCTCCAGTCAGAGGAGAAACTGAGCTTGGAGAAGTTAGGTGGGAACACCAGTATATATATATGCTAATACATATACAAATATGTGTTAAATAAATAATATGCTACTGAGTGCCCGCACCACACTCCTGGGATTCTGTCAACTTTGACTTGGAGAGAAAAATGCCACTAGGTTATCAAAGGAGCAGAGTAGACAAGAGGTTTCACATGATGACAGGGAGGTTGTCTGACTTGTTTTAGCCACTGGCACTGTCACGGGCTCAGCTTCCTGCCAGGGCCTTGATGGAGACTAACAGCTCCTGCACTCCTGAGCCACGTCTGCCCCCTGCAGGCACGGCTAGGATCTGCAGGTGCACTTTTTATCTGAAAATTAATTTGCAATATTCAGTTCTATTCTCCGGTCTCTATGTAACCAGCGCTCTCCATCCTGTCTGTAAAACATCTGACTTCTGACTGACTGTAAGGCACACAGAGGACAACGGCTGACCCGTGCTGGGGGCTCTGGCCTAGCACCCCCATGCCCATCACTTCTGCCCTCCTTGATTGAGTTACATTCACCAGACTTGTTCCCAAACCTGTGGATTCCAGTTGTACCTGTTCTTGCAATAATTTAAAATTAAGTAAACCAATAAATTATGAACATGAGCAGTTAGGGAATTACATATCTAAAAACCTAATGGAATGCTTCAGAAAGACTCAGTAGAGGCAAGTTGCTAAAAATATCGTCAATTAAGTAATTAAGTCAATCAACTAATTGTTAATTAGGTAATTAATGAATCAACCATGCAATAGTGGAAAATCGGCAAAAATCTAGGATTCTGCTCTCAGATTGCTTCAAAAGTGTTTAAAATTTGTGTTTGACTTTAAAGAAAAAAACTGGAAATTTTAAATCTCAAATGGGAAAACAAAATAGGAGTTGGCTTGTATTAAAAGATTGACAATTGAATGTACCTCAAAAAAAATGAGAAGACAATTTCGAGTGTTTGTATGTGTGTGTGAGGTGGGATCTCAAATGGGAAAACAAAATAGGAGTTGGCTTGTATTAAAAGATTGACAATTGAATGTACTTCAAAAAAAATGAGAAGACAATTTCGAGTGTTTGTATGTGTGTGTGAGGTGGGGTAGGGGGAATTCCTTGTTTTAACTGGCTTTTGAATGATGACCCAGGAATAAACCGTATTCATTTTGTGCGGTAACAGTCCAGACTCCATGTGTCCATGTGTCCTCGGCCTGTGCGTATTAAATGGCGTCAGTAACAACGTGTTTCACGAATCCTCTCCAACTCCTTTTGTTGCAGGAGCCCGGTCCCCTGCAGAGCCCTCCCAATATCCTAAGTAGCTCTGTCACGAAGAGACGCACATCCTATGTGTTCCCAGTCAAGCAGCCGTGACATTGCCCCACACCGCTGCTGCTGCCCCTCCACACGCCTGTGTCCATCAAGAACCACCACCTTGGTCAGAAATGTCCCTTCCCACCAGGCACATTGCTACTACTTCCATCTCCCACCAAGCCCTGTGATAAGTGAACCCCATGGGGCTCTCAAAATGTGTCATGGTCTGTGATAAAGTAGGGAGAGAATGCCATGGAAAGCTTTCCGGCACAGAGCAAAGAGCTCGGGCTTGTTCTGCCGCAGCTGTCAGGCCACTGGGAAATTAAGCTCTGTGGGTCTCAGTTCCTCCATGTGTAAAAGGGGGATAACCTCACAAAACGGGTGTTGTGCCAACAGGTCTAGGCACTTTGCATGCATAGGCTCGAGCAAAGGGTGTGTGTGTGTACACGGTATAGCGGAGGGAGATGGAGGCTAGGAGGCCAAGACTGGTGGGAGAGGTGGGATAGGCTAACTTAACCTTTATGCTTTAGGACAGGATTTCCTCACTGCATATTATACCCACTATAGAGATTCCCATGGCTCTCCATTCATGTAGCGATAGAGGGAATAAGACAGTAAGCTCACGGCTTCCATAGAACTTACATTCTAATGGAATAAGACAGATCATCAAAAAAGTAAACAAAACATAAACAAGATGCATTCAGTTTGTAATACGTGCTCTGAAAAAAGATGATTCCAGGGGGCCTATTTTTGATGGGTTGGTCAGGAAGTCCTCTCTGAGATGACACTTGAACTGAGACCTAAAGGGTGGGGCCTATGCATTCAACAAGACAGCTCCAGGCAGAAGAGGTGGCACTGCAGCGTGAGTGCTGGTGCCCATGAGCAAAAAGAACCTAGGATGGAAAGGGCTAGAGTATAGATGGCCATGGGGAGAGCTAGCAAGGGTCAGATACATTAGGGGCCCATCACCCATGGTAAGAAGTATTATTATTCTGGGCCGGCCCCGTGGCGCACTCGGGAGAGTGCGGCGCTGGGAGCGCAGCAACGCTCCCGCCGCGGGTTCGGATCCTATATAGGACTGGCCGGTGCGCTCACTGGCTGAACGCGGTGTGGGTGACACCACACCAAGGGTTGCGATCCCCTTACCAGTCACGAAAAAGACAAAAAATAAAAATAAAAATAAATAAGTATTATTATTCTAAGTGAGTTAGGGAAGAATTTGAAAGCTTTTGGACAGAACCCTGGACCTTGGTGTTATCATACCACGCTCCATACAACTGAGCTAACTGGCCAGAACCTGACTTGCATTTTAACAAGGCTCCTTTGGCCAGTGGGTGGAGATTGAATGAATTTAGGCAGTCAAAAGCAGATGTGGGGAAACCAGTCAGAGAAGTAATGCTCCAGACCACATGGGAATCGAGTGATCTAACTGGCCAGAACCTGACTTGCATTTTAACAAGGCTCCTTTGGCCAGTGGGTGGAGATTGGATGAATTTAGGCAGTCAAAAGCAGATGTGGGGAAACCAGTCAGAGAAGTAATGCTCCAGACCACATGGGAATCGAGTGATATAGGTGCTAGACAGGAAGAAGCTGAAGATGGAATGAGGGATGGAAAAGGGGACACGTGCACAAATCTTTCCAGAAGTCCTGATGTGAATGGAGCAGAGAAATAGGGTGGTAGAGTGGAGAGCTTTCTAGAGATGGGAACTACTGGAGAATGGCTGTACACCGCTGAGAATGATCCAGTAGAAGGGGAGACTTATGACGAAGTCAGCAGAAAGGCAAGAGAAAGGAAGTGTTGGTCTTTGAGAGAAGACGAGAAGCCAGAGCACAGGGGCTGCAGGGAGGTTTGCAGAAATGCATGCTACCCATCTTTGAAAAGCCTTCAGGAATGACGAACATGCTTACCTTAAGTAGCAGCCCCAAATGTATTTGAACAGGAAACCCTTTATTCACAGTAGAGCACAGCGGTTACAATGTGAAGTCTCCAAGCCTACCCAAATGCAGATCCTGGCTCCACCGCCATGTTTGACAAGCTTAAGTTTGAGAACCGCTGCTCTATGACAGTTAAATCTCTATGGTGGTTATCTGGGCATCAGTGTCTTAAAACAACCCAGTAGTTCCATTTTGGAGCCAGGTTTGAGAAGTTACAGCCTAGCCCCTCAAGCCTACTACGTCACAAATCACAAGCACCCCACCCAACAGCTGGGTGAAGAGCCTGCCCACTTTGGGAACCAGCACCACACAGCAGCAGCTGGCCAGACAGACCCTGGTGGAGATGCGTCTTATGGAATCATTTCTTCTTTCCTGCTTTCACTTAGCTTTTGATAAGCATCTGTCCACTATGGTAAATAACACAAGGGGCAGGGGCCAACCCATGTGGGGCTGGGAGTAGAGAAAAGCACTTTCCTGGGACTGGGCCTCATGGTGGCTGTGGGGATTGGGGCAGTTTCTCAGGGACAACCTGTGGATTCGTTGGTTCTGCTGCACGTTTGAGGGGGCGGGGTCCAGGTACTAGAATATCTCTTTTCCTCCCAGCACATCAGATCAAGGGAAAACAAAATAGTATTCAGTTCATATCAAACTCTGGGAATGTTTGCCTAAACACATAGCTGCCATGAAAAGAGACGAGAGGGATAGCTGTTAGATTTAAAAACACCTCCGCAGCACAAATGTCTTTCGAGGACAGTGGCGAGTCACAGTAGCAGCAGCCACCATTCACTGAGCATGCACTAGATCCTGCTCCACGTGTGCCAGCGCACCCAATCCTCACAACCACCCCATGAAGCTACTCCAGGCTTCCCGTCCTCCAGATTAGAAAGCAGGGCCACGGAGAGTTCAGGTAGCTTGCTGGGAGAGAGGCGACCAGGGCGAGGCAGGACTCTACCCTGGGCATATGGCATCAGAGCCCCTGCTCACATGACTACGGTAATTTCTCCTGGTGTGTGCAGTCTTCTCATACCACATTTCCAGGGCCATGAATATTGCATTTTTAGGGGATAGAAAGGGCATAGGAGATAGGTCCTAGTCCTTGGCTTACCTGGCCCACATTTATTGAATGCCTACTCCCCAGACACTGTTATCTATGGGTAAGACAGGCTCTCCTACCGCGGGGATTCCAGAGTGTGGCACGGGTGGAAGCTAAGCACACGGGGTGCCATCCAATAACACAGTAAGAAGCACACAGCACATTGCTGTCTTCAATTCTCTGTGCGACAGACGGGGAGTGAATAAATGAACACAGCAAGCAAGCTCATACGCAATGGCTATGTGAAAGAAGAACTGACAGAGAGGTTTACCAGAGCAGGGCCTTAAGTGACGAGGAGTTAAAACAGGTAACGTGGGCAAAACGTGGGCAAGACGACAGAGGCGCAAACACAATATGGAAAGCGCATGCCGTGAGGAGGCTCAGCCAGCACGGGCAGGACGCGGTGGGAGTGACACGCCGAACAGAACCAGAACAAGAGGTTTAATCGTTATAATACTTAGTAAAAACTCAGTAATGATTTTGAGGCATCCCCTCAAATGAGGAATTATTCTTACCAACCACAGGAAGTTTGCGACTACTCGGGACGGAGACGACTTGGGGGCACAGCGTACAGTTCTCTGATATGAGACCACACACAATGCTTCCCTTTCTCTTCAGCATTTCTCCATATCCTAAACCATTCCTATTCCTTTCCAAGGCTAAAATTGGCAATTACACTGATTATTTTCACACAAGTACATGAAGCCAATCAGCGCAGCAGCCCTGTGTCTCCCATCCTCATGTGCCAAGATGAAGCAACGGTGCATGGCTCAGTGAGGTTGCAACTTGCCCAAGGCGACCTAAACTCTCCATCGTGGGCTCAGGCTCACCTGGACAGGAGATCCCAACCCCTCTAAGACCGTGACTCATCCAGACACATGTGCCTTTCGTTTCTCCCTTTTAACTTGTTCTGACTCCTCAGTCTACCCCTCTTTTCTCTCAAGACACTGTCGAGATTTTTTCTTTACATCTCCTGCTAAGTTTTCAAAAGCACCTGCTTCACCTCTCAGTCAGTCCTTAGCAGTCAGAACTATGCCCCCATGTACCCAGGTAACTCTTAACATGCTCACACGCATTACAACCAACAGGAACCCTCCCCTTACCTTCTTCTTTGTGCACAGGTAACTCTTAACATGCTCACACGCATTACAACCAACAGGAACCCTCCCCTTACCTTCTTCTCTGTGCACAGTGATACTAATGACATGGCACAAGGGCAGATGACGCAGACCTGAAGAGGGAAGAGACCAAGAGACTGGAGGTCTGTGGGCAGTTAGGGGAGCAAACCAATTGTCCCCTTCCTCCCACTCCAGGAACAGTTAGTGGAGAGCTGATACTGCACCTGACGTGTTCAGCCATAGACCCTTCCCACTGGGATGCACAAACTGAAAGATACATTGGATGTGTTGTCCCTGCACAACCTCTCGCGTGCTGCCCAATAATTAGGGCTCAAAATCTTCCCCCAACTCCAAATGCTAATCTCGGCGACTTCATCTGTGTACAGTCAACCCCATCTAAGCGAGCCTCCTCTTTTCCCTTCCCTCTGCTCTCTCAAGTGGGTATCTTTGGCTTCCAGCCACCCATCTCCACACCTCCAGCCTAACTGGACTTGCTCCCTCGGTCAGTGACCCCCTAAAACAAAGGTCTGGTCATAGCCCTCCACTTCTTCACAAACCACGATAGGCTCCTACTGCCTACAAAATAAAGACAACTCCTAATGTTTCCAGTTCTGATCCTCAGCTTGCCTCAGTATTTCAATTCTGAACCCTCAACTTTTCAGTCTTACCTCCCACTATTTCTTCACGTACTAGCCCATTTCTTCCCTGCCCATGCATTTACTTTTAAACCTTCTTGCCTTCCCCTTAGCCTGGATTACCTTCCTCTCCCAACCTTCCTTACACAGAGTATAAAGATACACCTCCTCTGTAAAACCCTCATTTCCTCTAGCCAATCCCTCCTGCCTGTGTCCCTTCAGCACGGTCCTTGTTTCTCTATTTCAATAAGGTGATTACACTACATCATCCATTTTTCTCTCTCCTCATTCCCAGCTTCCAGCACACATAATATGCATTAGACATGTATGCATTCTTAGACATATGTGCATTCATTAATCGATGACATTAAGTGAAATACATGTTAGAAACCTAACATTTACACAGCATATTTGAAATTATCTTTTAGTTCCAAATGAAGTCCAAAGATTACTGGTGTATAATCTATAACAGCTAAAAAAAAAAAGTTTTTAAACATAAAATCAGTATAAATCAATCTTCATTTACATAAAGTTAATGAACCTTTTTAGGAACAACCCTAAGAAAAGGCAGTATCTGAATTAAATTATAATTGGTGGAAATAAAAAAATGATTAAAAGAAAAATTTAAACCGAATATTCTTTCGGCACTGTTTCTCATTGGAGGCTTCTCCAACGACTGCGATGAAACGGAATGTGTCAGCCACCACATGGGCTGATCAAGCAGCAGTACTCAGGTCAGAGGCCTCTCCTTGCAGAAGGGAAGCGTGAGTGTAGGTGAGGGGAGGGATGGCAAGGACAGCAAGATGGAGCACTGTCCTCACACAGAGGCTGGGACGGCACAGCAGCCCACTCAGTGTAGGCAAAGAGGAAATATATGTGCAAGACGACAGTTGGAAACACTCAAATCTGAATTTCCCTGCTTATTCTAAAACAGACCCCAGTTTTAAATACTACTGTCCTCACACAGAGGCTGGGACGGCACAGCAGCCCACTCAGTGTAGGCAAAGAGGAAATCTATGTGCAAGACGACAGTTGGAAACACTCAAATCTGAATTTCCCTGCTTATTCTAAAACAGACCCCAGTTTTAAATACCAATTTTTGCCAAGTGGACACGATGGCTGCTCTCTCACATGGAACTAGGTTAAGGGCATTGAAGCAAAGTGCCTTTTTTAGATAAAGTTTCTCTAGTGATTTTGAATACCAGAAAAGCAAGACTAGATCAACCAGAAAACCAGGGTGATAGTTCAGGCTCTTTATAATCCATATAAAATCCAAATCTAAGAAACCTGACCTAGTAATACCCCTTTTATCCCAAGCCACAGGATATCCTAAAATTGCCAAGAAAAACATCTTATCACAAATTTATATTTCATTTTCAATGAAAAAACTTATTTCATAATTTTCATACCACTTTTTTCTTTTTTATTTAAAATATTATAACCAATTGACATACTAGGTAACATTGTTTACATTCCAGTGGTGCGTGTTTAATGACTAGGGCATGAATGATTAAAAACCACAATAATGATCTTAGCATTCCCTACAAAGTGCCCCATTTCGTTTTGTTTAGAGGAGAAGAGAGGGAACGGAACACAGGGAAGGAGGAATGAGAAGGGATGACATCATTTAGGGAGAAAAGCAAATGTCAATTATCATAGGTTTCCAGGTTTGAACACCTGAACAGGATAAACTGTAATGAGAAAATAGATGTCACAGTTCAGGCAGTTACTTCAGTTTAACTTCATCATTCGGCTAAAAGATTAACAGCTTCTTAAAAATATACCAAATATTGGGCCTACAAAAGTAATTTATTTCTTCGCAAAATTTACTAAGATTTATTCCTTTTGTAAAATGTAAAGAATGGACTGATATGACGAGCAGGTTTCTACTTACAAAAACAGACAGTAATAATGTCAACAAGCACATCTAACACAATTTTCCAAGATACACAGTGACACATTTTACACGTGAGTGTCTCTTACTGATGAAAGGTATATATTTTACATACTTATTGGTATTGTGTCAACATTGTCTATGAAGTATTTAATGCACATTTATAATTCACACTCAGTAAAGATCTAACAGTAAGGGCAATAGCTTACTTGGGAAAGCATAGAAAACTAGTGTGAGGTAGTTCAATAAAGACCTAGTTTAATTTGTAAGTCATTGTTAGAATAGAACATTGTGCAAAACTAATCCACAGGTAATATTTCCCCAAAGTTTCAGTAACAAAGAGAATCTAAACCAGAAATGGCCAGAAAGTGTTACTCTTACTGGACTCTCCTTAAGAGCACTTAACTAAGAGTTAGTTTGAAATCAATTAGGACTTTTGTTTTCCTTAAGAGTTTTCTAATCATACCCCAAACTATACATTTCTGCTTCAATGCCCTTTACCTCTTCATCTTTCTTCCTACTAAGGAAAAGTTTCCTTTGATTCAGGAAAAACCTAAGAGAAATCAATTGAAACACAATGCACACTAAAATGCAACAGGACATGGAGAAGCAACATTTAAGAGAGCTGCTAATGACAAAATGGTGGTGGTTTTTCTATTGGTAAAGAGAAAGTTACTGGGGCCACGGGGCTTCATGCATCCACTCTACAGCTAATGTGTGACTAATGAACAACACTCACAAACTACAACAGTATTTCTGAAAATATACTACGTTTTTACCTCAAAATGTTGTACAGGCTAGTGCCCAGGCAACACTGATAGTTAAGTCTTCATATATGTAGCGGATACTGGCCGACAGTGTAAACCAAGTCTCATGTATAATCAAGGAAACAACTTCACTTGCTTGCTGCCAATTTCACTATCAGACACTGATGTCCTCTTCGCCTTCATCTTTTTGGACAACACAGCAGGATTAGCACAGAACAGAATAAAAAGGTTTTCAGGAAAGTTTGCTGTTTCATGCACAATCAAGCTTCTCTGTATTGTTAAGGGTGTGTGTGGTAGCCTCTGCATTTAAAGGGAGGGTATTTCTCTTAGGAAGTCTGGTGTGAATGAATGGTGCCTTTACCAACTTGGAAGAGGGCATGCCAGGAACAATCAGCAGCCAAAGGTGCGTGACAAAATGAAAACTGTTCAGCAAACACTATGAAAGAGCCCAGATGCTCTATTTATGTACATTATAATTAAGCCATCCCAACAACACAATCATTTTATAAATGGTCAGTATATGTTAGAGAGTAAAAGAACAGTAACCAGGAAGACATATGTAGAAAGAATTAGCATCTCTTTCCTAACCTAAAAAGCTGAATAATAAATCTTGGTCAAATAATTTTCTGATAATAAGACAGTAAGTATATTAAGTGTATAAATTGAAAAACCAAAGTTATAAGAAAGGTGGCTTTACACAAGTCCTATTTGATAGAAATGTTATTTGTAATTTCTCTTTAAAAAAAATCACAAATGTTTAAGATGGTCTAATAGTACTAACGTAAAAACAAACCAATACATATTTAGCTTAATGAATTTAAGCGAAGAGGGTAAGTTATATTTAGATACTGTATTTTAAAAACCTAGGGCACATAACATATAATAAACAGACCTTACTTTTAGGATATAATGTAAACTAAAATACTTAACAAATTAAGTAACAAGAGTTTGTTTTCTTCGACTTCAACCAAAACATGATGGTTGGCAAATGGGAGCTGGCATTTACAACAAATGATAGTCAGAACACCTGGTTTTCCTTGCTTAACCAAAATCTGTATCAATAGAGATGGCTTATAAGCAAACACAGAATATGGGAATCTTCTGTATGGGAATCCTCCGAAAGCACTTCAGCTGTTATAGTGCAATAGTGACATAATTTATGCTAGAGAAAATAAAACTGTCAAATAATAAAAACTGAGAACGCACTTGTGCTCAAATTGCTGCTAAATTCATGAATCCAATCCTGTGTTCCTACAATTTAAGAGGTGCTGTAGTCTCAAAACTCTAATTTGCCTAATAAAATTAATGCACCATGTTGTATAAGTAGAAAAGAGATTGATAAAAAGGCTGGGAGGTTGGAAATCATGACTTTAAACCATCAAAAACAAACTTGCTGTTTCAAAGTATATAAAAAGGCTAATGTATTTTAATCTTAAATATTGCACGTTAACAAAGACCTAAAATACCTTAATTAAAAGGAATTTTGCACTAAAATATGAATGAAACGCCAAGCGAACTTCCAGACATAGCATGTTGAGCTGCATCTGTTCTTGCTCCTGTTGGTCATGAATTCCAGTGGGCTTTCTGCCTAGACCTTGCTGTTTATTTAAGTATGCACTTCCCAGTTCATTACATGAAATCCTTCTTGCTCCAGAGATGACAAAAGGTGCCTGGGGTCATTACAGATAATGTATTTCAGAAATAATGAAACTTCAATGACATTTACTTAGGGAAAATTCAGTTATAGAGAAAATAACTCTGCAGATATAAAATGTAAACAGTTAACACACCTGTCAGGAGCAGCACCATTCTTACACTACTCAACATCCACATTGCATATCATATTGAAAATTAGGTATGGAAAAATGAAAGACTCAGAGTAAATAACCACCATTTATGCCTGCTCTGCTCATTGTGAAGAAATAGTCCTTAGAAAATGATATCCTACATATGGCTGTGTGCTACTATTTTCAGATGAACGGTATATTGCTCATTTGATACATCACCTACACAAATCTAAGCAGGCTTTGGAACCTCCTGACAGCTAGTATAAATATGATTATGCTACAGGTAGAATCAAATGGCCAGAAACACCATGAGAACTGGTGTTCAACTGACTGACACTCCAAGTAATAGGAAACCAGAAAGGTTCAAGGGCCCAAGGGTGCAGGAAAGGAAAAGACTAGAATCTAGACCATTGCTGGGACCTACAGCCTGAGTAGTTCAACTCAGTATATACAAAAACAGGCTCATAGCTAGTAGAAGTGAACCATCTGTTTATTTGCATTGAAATGTGTTATTCATGAAGTATTCTCTTGACTTTATGTGATCATAAGCTTTGAGCATGCCACAAATTTGCAGAATACACCATGTTCTTTTTACTTGACTTTTGTTGGGTGGGGTGAAAAGATAAGAAGGTGGAGTAGACACCCAGCATCTTCAAAGACATGCTCTGAGTTATTCTGCCATTTAGATGATGGGTTTTTTGGCAGAATTCAGGTAGGATTGCCTACCACTTGTTGTTAACTAGATTAGGATTGGCAAGTAGCAAATATTGGAGGTCTCTTAACACGTTCATCATTTACAGTAGTTATTCCTGAATATAACTGGCTACAGGTTACTCTCCCTCACTCATCTGGGGTTATTTCATTGATAAGCACATAACCCTGAAGGATAGTAACATCAACAAAACATCTGAAATACATTCTAATAAAAAAACTATAAAAATCTTAAATAATTCATGATATAGGCAAGTCACCATATAATAGTTGCTTTGATAAACAAAATCTTACAAATTCAGTAAAAAAAAAAAAAACAGCAGCATAAGATAAAGCAAATATGCAAAAAATTTAAACCATGATAAAATAATTAGGTTTACATTATACAGTTAATTACAGCAAAAAATACAATACAGTTTTGTTGCTGTTTTAAAACACAACTTAAGTTTTAAATTACATCACTTGAAATTAAAAAAAATAAACTACTTTACTACAAAATGAAGTCTACATTTTTTGAAAAATCACTCAAAAATAAGACCACTGAATTGTTTTCAAAGTAGTTCTATTAATGACTAAGCAACTCCATATCCCTCCCCCACCCCCCCAAGGCCAAAGTAGTCATCTACAGCAGCCCAGAGGTCCAGCTGATGCTTCTAGACTGCTGTCTGTATCCGAGGCCAAAGTTGGATCTGTTGACATTGAAGACACATCATTGACAGACGACGATGATGACGGATGCTGAGAGCCATTGATCACTGCTGCACCTGTGCTATGAGAAACAAAACAGCAAATCAGTTGCAGACAGTTGTAGACCGAGCTACTCACACTGTACTGACTACCCCTAGTGGTCAATAATTTTTCTCTTAGCTTTAGAAGGCTCACTAAAGATAAATACAAATTATATTCAACAAAACACACTCTTCATCACAAGCTGAGGTGAGAATCTTTAAAATGTCTAGAAACCTGGAGTCCTGTCCTTTCTGCTAATTTGTTTTTCAGTTCAAGACAAGAATTGTAAGTCCAAGCCACATTTAAGAAATGATCCTGTAGCAAGATCCATGAATGGGCTGTCTATACTGCATTTCTGTCCTTTCTGCTAATTTGTTTTTCAGTTCAAGACAAGAATTGTAAGTCCAAGCCACATTTACGAAATGATCCTGTAGCAAGATCCATGAATGGGCTGTCTATACTGCATTTTCTTGGAGAGAGACCCTCAAAGAACCATGTGAGTAAAAAAAGGTTGAACACTATTGCCCTATAAAAAATTATTTATGTTATCTTCTCACTACAAAGAAAAAGTGCAAACAATACTCTGTACATCTTGTTTTAAAGCAAAGACCAAGACAAAGAACAAAATCATTTTAATTTGAAGGAACCTTTGTTCAACTGCCCCAGTTTACACAAGGTTATGTGACTTGCCAGGGTAACTTGAAGTGGCCTAGTTAGGTAAACTAAGGTCTTATTTTCATTCTAATAAATACTTGATAAATACAAACATGGATTTGTTAAATAAAGTAGGGGCTAACTGTTTCCTTTGCCAAAAGTACTACCTAACAAGCGTTTCCTGGATTTTAACAAGTAATAGGAATACTTGACCTAGAGAGAGAAATCTTCTCAAAGGGGTTGGATTGGGAAGGGAGCAGGAGTGACTTACAGTGGGGTGTGGGGAACATGAGGGCACTTCAAAAAGTTCGTGGAAAAATAAAAACAAAAGACAATATGAATTTTTCCACAAACTTTTTGAAGTACCCTCGTATGTTAAAGGCAGTTCAGGTGCCAGGTGAGTACTTCTGAACCACAGGATCACTAAATACAGGCCATTCCAAATTTGAATAATACAAGTTACAAAAAGTTCTCAAAAAGAAAGACATGTAATAAAAACAATGGTTTTCAAACTGAACAGCAAAAGAGCAAAATTTGTGAGGGTGAGGTTCTGTTCTGACGCTGAAACCAAACAGGTTGAAAACCAATGCCGCCGAACCCGGCATCTTGGTGTTTGAGATTATCCCTCCATTATGTGTAATGAAAAGCAATAAAACACTTAAGTATATGAAAGGTCCTCTGAGAGCTTGTCTTGAAATGCAACAAAGAAATAGGCAGGGTAGTGGGAGGCAGATTTTAGGGTAACAGAGAGTAAAGCGGGAGACAGAAAGGAATGGAACCATAAGGGACAGAGTCTGCGATGGGAGCTGAAACAGGAAAAGAAAGCAAGCTGAGCATCTCAGGCCTAATCGAAGAGAGGGAAAGGAGAAAGGTCATAACCCTTTAGACCCTAGAAAGGTCCATTAGGTTCACAGCCAGACTGAAACTGACACAGTATATTCTTTTTAGTTCAGTAAATACGACACTATAAAATGAGTCTCTTCTGACTGAACAGTATAGTATACATGCCATACACAGTATACTGGCTAGCTTTTAAGATTTGCATTGAAACATTCGAACCATAAAGTTTCCACCATACGTACTTTTTATATATGCCTGTAGTTCAGCATCTCTTTCATATTATACAAATTCCTTAATCTGATAAAAATTGACTTCTAAATGAGTTGTAATTAGTTAACTTTTTAATCTGTAAATCAAGTACTTAAGAAAAATATGTGTTTTATCTGAACTTTATTTGAATGGCAACAATATGGAAAATCTTTAGTATCAGGTATCCGGGTCATTTCCCTCTCAGATGAGTCTCTACATACTCAAAGCAGGTAAACTCATTTTAATATTAGCCAAACCAAAATAAGATAGGAAGGTAATCCACTGGGAAAAATAATCTACTTTTTAAAATCAAGTAGAAATCATATTGTGATTATCTAATAATTTGATTTATCAAAGACTGTTCCTTCTGTTTTTATACATAATCAAGAACTCAATATTATTTTAACAGCTTAATTTACTAAATCTTCTTTGCAAGCTTTAACTGAGAATCCAGAAAATGTCTAGAAATTTTAAGTCCTGTCCTTTTCCAATGACTTATTTTGTGACAATAACCAAGTATTGTCTAGGATTCTGGTTATTCACTTATAAATTAAGAACAAATACAACTGCTTTAGCTCATGATATTACGTTTACTTAAAATTTGCCAATTAGGAAGTGCCATTCACTAGGATAGTATGCTAACGTATAAAACTGTCTCAAATAATGGACTTTTCATTTTTTTTTTTTTAAAAAAATGACCGGTGAGGGGATCTCAACCCTCGGCTTTGTGTTGTC